TTTGAACTCTCACCCCTGTGGCAGAATATTGAAAGGTTGTAAGATTCTCCTGAAAAGAAATGCACAGTATCTAGAAGAAATAACATGTTGGCTGTTCCCTCTCAGCCCTTTTCAGAAAATGTTCACCTCTCCAGCACTTCGTCTATTTCAGTTTAAGTGAAAAGGGTTTGGTTGCATTCGAGCGGAAATTGATTAGCGGAATGGTAAAGTAGGAAGGCTGCTGACTAACGCTAAAGATGAGCACTTACATTTTGTAACGTTAGGAGACTGAGTGGAGTTTCACCTGACACTTAGGCACACCAGAAGTGGTTGAATACAGACATTAATGGACCTGCTTTGACCTTCAATAAAGAAGCTTCCCTCTTGGATGTTTAGTAGAAAAGGAGAAAGCCTTAGCAATAAAATAATAACTTAAAAATAAACCCAGTAGAGTAGAGAGTGCAGATCTCCGCCAGATGCGCTCCCTCTTCCCTCCCACACAAAGATTATCTGAATCTCACTAAATTGTCCCTTCTTCCTTCCGGAGATAACAAAAACAGGGATTTATTCATCTCATATCGTGCCTTACTTAAGTAGATCATGAATGCTTAGTGAAATGGCCTAAACAGGATAATTGTCCTCCATTGAGTTGAAGTATCTCTTATAGTTCTTCTGAAAAATGGAAAACAAAAGTATGATTACGAATGAAATGGGAGCAGGATAAGAAGTCAAAGGGGACCTTGGACGGAGCCGTGTGGTACTCCACAGTTGAATGGAACATCAGATGAGCCAAAATTACCAGGATTAACTACAATCAGCTTTTTGAGAGGTGCGTATCCTACACCGTTTCTGAGACAACAAATTAAGATGTTATGATTTTCTCACGGGGGAAAGGAAATCAAGCCCAACTATAAAAGAAGGAAGGCAGGTATAAAAGTATAAACAAATAGCGAGATTTATTAAATTAAAGCTGGTGTAAAAACCTCAAAACTGAGAGAGCAAGCTAGGTAAACAAAAGGAAAGTAACAAAGCAAAACAAGATGACAAGAGGAAAGGGGAGCTACAAATCCACAAGGAGAACACATGGAAAAATACAGAAACAGGAAAAGCTGAACAACACTGTTCAAGACGTTAAAGGGCGGTGGTGGCGAAGTCCATAGGGACTTGGCTTGGCAACTGGAAGGTCATCAGTTCAAGTCCCGGAAAGACCAAGTGCTACCGAAGTGTCCCTGAGCAAGGCACAGTTCCCTACACTGCTCTCTGGGCGCCGTACATAATGGCAGCCCACTGCTCCTAACACTAGGATGGGTCAAAGGCAGAGACCACTGAAATTCCCCTTATCTTAAATGGTACAATGATGACGGACTGACAACGAAAACACTTTGACAGACAGGCTTATATAGAGACAGGACTAATAACATTGTCAAGACACAGCTGGAGAGGGGAGGTAAAGACATAAGGGCAGCAAGGAGATCACACACAGTTGGAAAGAATCAGAGCAAGGCAAACAATTAGAAAGGCTGGAAAGATTCTGAGATCTTTAGTGGAAGTGGACACAGTTTATACTTTGTCAGAAATTAGATTTCAAACAGCTGTTCACTCTTTCTTTGGAGCAGAAGTGTGTTGTGTGCATTTGTTGCTGGGCTTTCTGAGTAAATATCTGCATAAACCCTGGCAGCCTGTCAGCCTGTCAGATCAAACCATTCTAGGTTTGTTATTTAGTATGAACTCTAACTGTTAGTACAATAACATATAAATACAGGTTCAATCTCTAATTCTCTAGCAGCATTTCTTTTAAAACACTGTTAATAGTTCATTAAAAGACACATTTTATGATTTTGTTCTGACTTTTTCTTTTAGCTTGACCTCTTTGTCTGCACTCAATTTTAACGTCACAAAAACAAAAATGCGTTATTTCTCACCGCTGGGATTTACATAGATAACAGCAAGGACCCTTGTTAGGTGCGTAAAGTTAACAACATCCCTGAGGAAAGACACTCCATGGAAAGCAATTAGACAGCCATCCTTAGCCCCCATTACGCAGCCAATCGTTTGACATACTCTGCTCTTATTAGATTCCTGCACTGTAGTATCAGTTGCTTCTCAGGATGCCAATACATTGATGTCCCCTCAGTTGTTTGCTTTTAAATGACTCCCGATGCAGTGTCGTTGTTGTTCGCATCATGTTTATGCAGGAAGACTATCCTTTGAAGTTGTTTTTGTCTAAACTGGTCCAAGAGGATATGCACCACAGCCTACGAGCATGGCAGCCACATCAGAGGGAGCGAGATGAGGCATGTTGTTGTTTATGTTGTTATCATTTCATGCTGATGGACTACAGTGCACACTGTGGCTTTACAAATGCTCGCTGTGCCCCCGGGCTTGCAGCCAGCCGAGCAGCCGGTGGGTGGAGTTGAGCCCACAGAACTCGGAGGCGGAGGATTTGGAAGAAAGACTAAAGTCGTCTTTACTCCGCCTCATTAGAAGCACATTAGAGCCCACCGTGCACCACCCACTGAGCTACACCGCCTGACCTGTTCTCAGCAGCTCTTTCTACACACGCTTTGGCACACAGGTGTAAGGGCAGGGCTCCAGCACAAGCAGAAAAACCCTCCTATAAATAAGTCCAAGAGAAAGTTGATGCCCATGATCGGTTTCATTACAGTAAAGTGCAGAAGCTGCGCAGTCGACAGTAAAAACGCTGAAGTCACAGGAGTGGTGGAGTGTGCCAAAAAGCTGCAGATGCAGTCAGACTTTCCCGGCCTTTTCAGATGCAACAGTCAGTCAATAATGTGTGAATGCTGAAACTATTAGTCAGTGAACACATTGGTCAAATAAAAATAAAATGAAACAGTTAATAAATAATTTAAGGAATTTGTAACGCATATAAGTTAAATATGTAGTGGTTTCAGCTTCAGTGGGACATTTTTCAGAGAAAACAAGACATTTTATGGGGGTTATTTTTGGCTACCATGAACATCTGTAACTGTTTTCTGACATGTTGAGGACTACATTTTGAGCATGGTTTAAAAAGCATTGAATAAAAAGGATTTCTAATACATTTACAAATACTGTACACTATTCTAAAGAGAATTACTAAAGTGCGAGTACAAGTGCTTCAGATAGTCAATTACAGACGGTAACATGACTGTGAGAAAAAAATAAGAAAATAGCATAAGAAACAGAAAGAGCAAGAAAGTGAGAGGCAAGTGAGCAAGAGTGAGGATATGAAGGAGGGCGAGATGAATTATAGCCCACTCCTGGAATCAATAATCTTGCGAAGCACGGCCCCCAGTGTGCTACAGATCTTTTTTTCCCCTTAACCAAGCAGAAAGGGTGACAGATGTAGAGAGCAGAGCCTGAGGATTTTGCAGGCTCCCAGAGAGATGCAGGGAAAATCCTCGCTGTGTCTGAAGGCGCTGAGGGGCGAGCGGAGGCAAACAGACTAAGGCAAAGACAGGATAAACATTAAACAGAACATTTCTCTCCTATTTGTCACAAAGTCTCCCACGCTCCTTGCTTGTTTTCATTTGTTTGGCAGATGTCTTCCCTGGGAGTCTTAATGCCAGTGTAAACAAAAGGAGTCTAATTCGCTGCAGCTATGTCTCACTCTTCAGCTCTACTATGACATGCATGCAGCTTCCTTATAGCTCTTTGTTGCATTTTTAACCACACTTTGCAATCTGAGACAAAATGTTCTCCATATAGCAGAGTGCTATCAGAGGCAGCGAGGAATACAATGATCCAACCTGACAAGTGTGATAGTTGTAGTGGTGTCTTTCCTTAAGAGGGATTCACCTCACACCTGTTGGCTGAAGTCATTTGGACTGAAATAGATGATCACCTACCTCTATTGCTCTTTTATTCTTATCCATTATTGTCCCTTTATCGTGTGTTTGCCGATCCATCCTCTACCCTTATAATTTCCTGTCTGTTACCAAAAATATGTATCACATTCTGACATAACATAAAGGACAGGTAGGTAGCAGTAAGTAGTAGTGTACGTTTTATTATAGATCAATGGCACTCAAAGACATCATTTTTAAACCGTCCATCAGTACGGAGTCGACTGGCTGCAACAGAACTAGAAAAACACCAGTGAGTTCTCGTGTTTGTTTGTTTTTTATTTGTTTATCCACCATCAGACAGATGTGACCTGATTTTATAATATATATATATATTCCGGCAGTGGCTCAGTCAGTAGGGGCTTGGACTGTGAGCCGTAGGGTCGCTGGTTCAAGTCCCCGACCAGACCTAAATATGGAGTGTGGACTTCTACTTGGAGAGGTCCCAGTTCACCTCCTGCCCTGCCGTGGTGCCCTTGAGCAAGGCACCGGACACCCCCCTTCCCCCCCCACTCCCATTGCTCCCCGGGCGCTGTACAATAGCTGCCCACTGCTCCTAGTACTAGACTCCTTGTACTAGGATGGGTTAAAAGCAGAGGCCAAATTTCACTGTGTGTGCTGTGTGCTCTGCATGTGTGACCATTAAAGAGGGTTTCATCCCTCCCTATTCTATTCTTCTATTCTATCCAAATAAAAAGATGCAGCTGTGTCCTGAATCCCTGTTTGCAAATGACCTATGTCCCAAGGTGCTTTTTTTGCCTTGTGTACTATTTTCCAATAATTTATTTATATATGTATTGACTTTAATGACTTAGAGAGCTGGCTTAGAGATAGCTTGTCAGAGAAGCGTGACACCTGAAACTGAAAACAGCTGTTTTTTTGTTATTGTAAGACATTCTGCCCAGGAGACATCATTTGTTGCTTCAGGGACTCGGACTGAGACACATTTAAATGCAAATTCTATTCTTTACAATATTGATTGCAACACTCTACTATTTTCTTTTTGTGCATGCTTTGCAGTTCCCTTGTACTTGTGGGACAGTGTGGCACCTCATTAGAGAGCGCTTCAAAATCAATAAAAGATTGTTTGAAATTGCCATTACGAAAGACATTTTATGTTTTTTGAGCAACAACCTGTACACAATTTGATGTTTCTTTTTCTCTTCTGTCCCACAGTCTGAAGACCACCCTGAAGAAGAAGGTTACCGGTGACCTGGTCAACCTGTCAGGCATCCCGCTGTCCGGCCGAGACGTCCACCGCGTGGCCTTCTACCTGCAGAGCAGCAGCGAGGCGGTGTCCACGGTGGACCTGAGCTTCACCGAGCTGCGGGACGAGAGCTTACGGCTGCTGCTGCCCAACCTCGGCTGCCTGCCCAAACTCGCCATACTGGCCGTGAATGGCAACCGCCTGACGATGGCCATCCTGAAAGACCTGACGGATGCAGTGAAGGATCCCAAGAAGTTCCCCAGCCTGGCCTGGGTGGACCTGGGCAACAACGTAGACATCTTCACCGTGCCGCAGCCGCTGCTCGTGGCTCTGCGGCGCCGCTTCGGTTTACGCAGCAGCCTTCCGACCATTTATGAGTACAGGGAGGCGCAGACGTTCAGCGGATACAACCCGAACTTGGAGACGTCAGTGGAGGAGCCCAGTCTGTACGAGGAGGGCGATGGAGAGGAGGAGGAGAAAGAGGAGGAGGAGGACAGGCTGGAGCTACGAGCATGGGGATGTAGAGAAGGAAATACGTCAAAAGATGTGCCGCTGCACTTCAGTGGGAGGTGATCGCCAGCAACTGCTTTCTTTAGACTGGCTGCCCCTTACATCCCTCAGAATCACCTCTGTTAGCAGCTGTCATTGTGGCAGATGCTTACCACTTGTTTCCTAAAATAACTTTAAAATAAATAGCTGTGTTGTGTCCCTATGGATGACTATTGAAACGATGCAGGCAGCTCTGTGGTCGTACAACGTTTTTATTTATTAAGTTTAAAGGTGGGGTAGGTAAGTTTGAGAAACCGGCTCGAGATACACTTTTTGTTATATTCCATGGAATGCTCTTAACATCCCGATAGCAATGAATATCTTAAGTGCTTTGACAAAAAATCCATAAAAAAATGTCATCTGTGGAAGCCGTAATACTGTAAAAAGCACGACCAATCATTTTAGCCGGCCCGGCTAAAATAACTGGATGGCCTACCTGCCTGTCAGCCTTCCATCTGTGCACAAACTTATCTCGTGCCCTCATTGGTCATGTGCTCGTTCGTGTGTGTTGGAGGAGGGGCTCTGTAAGGAAGTGGCAGATTTTTTCCGGCTGTGTATTTTCAAATTCTTGCGCACTCGAGCTGGTTTCTCCAAAATGACCTACCCTACCTTTAAGTGAACATGTTTGCTGGTTCCCAGTGCTTTATGTTCCTATTGTTTTGTGCTCTCACATCTTGATGCTCACCGTTATTTTCCACTCAGCTGAGGGTTAAGTGCCTTGCACAATGGCAACACAACAGGAGAGGTTGAGGAAGGATGGGGGGGGTTAATAATTCATTTTTCCCAAGCACATTTTACCCAGCTGGTCTCTCTTCACCGCTGCTTCCCTATTTCTGTGAAAAAAGTCTGAATAAGTCAAAGTAACTGAATATCTTGCTTACATAATTTTTGCTCTGATGTGTATGTTTTTAGACAGAACTCAACTGCAGGGAGATTATGCTCACATTAAATATGCGTCCAGTTTTCTTCTGTTGATAGTCGTTATTCAGAAATATATGATGAGTTATAGTGAGTAAATGACACATGCTGAATCCATTTTTATTCAAACGTCCAGGGTTGAAGCTGCAGGAGTGTTTGATGAACTGATTTCTGCCTCCATCAGTTCTTGTTAGTCCCCTTTAGTCACAGATGGCCAGAACAAGATCTATTTTTTCTCAGTAAATAGGACTAGCCCTAGATAATTTGGTCCACTTGTGGTTTGTGAATGAGTCTATTTATGAATCAGACGATATGCACGGAGAAATAAGCCCACTCTATTTTTAAAGGCGAACACAGACAATGAAACAGTTACTAACACCTCTGCTTTTATCTTCTGTGTTGCTACATACATTTGTTTTGGCATGAGTAAACTGCAACAGTTTTTTTGCTTCTTTTTAAGGATCTTTTGGGGTATTTTGTTAAATGGGCATGACCATTAGTGTCAACTTCAGATCCCACAGACCGAGAGCATGTTTACATTAATGTTCCAATAAGTGTGATTTATTTTTTGGGGGGGATTTGATACAAAATTGTCGCATGAAAACACAACTTCCCACACTTAATCCTGCCTACAGATGTTAATGTGGTCTGTTCTCTTTCCATGCTATTATTCAGGAAAATATGATTATTTGTGTTTACAGGGATGTTAATGAACAGGAAGTGTGTGTGTGTGTGTGTGTGTGTGTGTGTGTGTGTGTGTGTGTGTGTGTGTGTGTGTGTGTGTGTGTGTGTGTGTGTGTGTGTGTGTGTGTGTGTGTGTGTTGTGTGGTGTGTGTGTGTGTGTGTGTGTGTGTGTGTGGTGTGTGTGTGTGTGTTGTGTGTGTGTGTGTGTGTGTGTGTGTGTGTGTGTGTGTGTGTGTGTGTGTGTGTGTGTGTGTGTGTGTGTGTGGTGTGTGTGTGCGCGCGCGCGCCAGTGTGCATGAAGTGTTGTGGACATGCAGAGTAAATTACTACCTTTGATCGTAGAAATTACATTTGTACTTATTTGCACTTTAAGGATGGAAACGTCCCTCAATGCACATGCTTTGTTTTCAATGGATTGTTGTTTGTGTAAAAAAAGAAACTCACTGAGTCCCCCACATCATAATTAAACATTTTAATTTCAATGTTTTGGTTTTATATAATTCATCAACCTACCTACAAATCACTGTCATGGAAAATATCAATTGTAAATGTAGTTAATTATGCCTTTGGCTCATTAAACTATGGCTCGCTTTTTGAAGTAAAAGTGATGTTGACCTGCTGTTGCTTTCAGAATAAACATGATTTGAATAAAATGTACTTTCTGTGGAATTTTTGTAATTGGCCTGTCTGAAGAATCCTTTTAGTGACACTGAAGTAAAATGGTGTTAGACAGCATAAATATATTTGTAATGAGTAATCATGTAATGAGGAATTTCTACAATTTCTTGTGAGATACAAAAACTTTAATAAGTGAAAAAGTTAATGAGAGGATATAATGACTCATCTGAAGAATAAGCACGACTAGCTTTGATTATTTATCCAGTCAATGATTTGATCCTTTGAGATCAGGATTACATCTTCAAATTTAACCCATTACACCCACCCTCCTGAAGATGACATATTGTAAAGGTTTTTGTTGTACTCTATGCTGTGAATTGTTCCTCAATTATGTTTGTTAAGGAAGATAATGAGTGTTAAAACAGATTAAAACTATTTATTTTTTTATTGATCTCTTTTTGTGCTATTTTTCTTTTTCTTATGTTGGCTAGGTACTGTAGATACAGCTAAATTAAAATGGAAAAACTGTTGAACAAAATGTGAACATGTATGTATAATGAAACTGAATCTGAAATAATAAAAAATAAAACAGATTAAAACAAGGGTTTTAAAGCTTTTACCCAATGGACATTTACAATAAAAGAACAACAACAAAAATCTGTGTGTTTTGGCTTCTCTGTCATGTTTCAGATATGTGTAGTTTGCAAACCTCTCAAATGGTTTCAACATAACTGTTGTTGGTCCTAAGAGGTCACACACTCCATTATTTCACAATTTTCTTCCTCCCGTTTATCGTCCTACAACCCTAAATGTTTATCTTGTGACCCTTTAGGGGAGCATGACCCTTATGTTTGGAACAACTGCTTAACTTAAGTAATATTAACTACATCCAATTTGTTTTACATTGTGATATAGCTATTTAACCCTTGTGTGGTGTTCATATTTTTGTTACTCAGCCAGTGGTCTGGTGGACCCGCTGCCTTTTTGGGCTTCAATTCAACAAAATCAAACTATTTTATGTTGAAATACTCAACAGATGTTTACTTCATCTCAATTACAAGCAATATAAACAGCATATATGGTTAATATTTGCCCTTTTACATTTGTTAGATCACATTAAAGTGCTACTCGTTTTTTTGCCCGCTGACCAGCTGGTCCTGTGGATCGTCTTTTTTGTATGCTCAATCTCATCCTCTGTCACGAACGAGCTGAGAACCAAAATGCAACACACGGGAGACCAGGGGAAGTCCGTAACCAGCTTTATTATAACTAGTTTCCACAGAAAAGTTCTGGTGTAAGACAAACCGGCAGACAGTAGGCTGGTCGGGGACAGGCGAGGGTTCCAGGAGTAGGCAAGACGGAAGACGCAGGGACAGGCAAGGTCGAAACCGGGAGAGCAATCTGGGAGGTAATGCTGGAAAGAACTGCATGCTGCGATTCTGCGAAGTACGATCTGGCACTGAGGTGAGAGTGAAGGGGGCCGTAACAGAGTGTGAGAGAGAAACAGGATGTGACTAAGGTGACTGAGAAATGCTAATGCTGAAAATAGGTGAGTGAGGGAGCAGATTGTGACATCCTCTTCTTCAAAGTCACTGTCAGACTCAGAATTCTCAGAAATGTGATCCTCACATTCTGAAACCTTTTCCTCTTCCTCTACATCATCATCAAATGGTTATCTCTCTTCCAGAATCATTTGCAAGGCCCTCTGAGCAGAGAATATTTTGGCCATCAGTTGTGATAAGGACCCAAACTGGCAAAGCTTTATTTATTGTGTCTCGCCCCAAATTTGCAGCTGGGATAGTGTGAAAAAAATAAAGATTGGTTCCCGCAAGATGCATGCGTCGCTGGATTAGTGATGCCTGTGAGGAGTCAGACTCCTTTGCAATTTATCAGGTTGTCGTGCCAACAGCCTATCGTTCTCAGGTGATGTCCTTGGCTCATGATCATCCGTGGTCAGGTCACATGGGGGTAACAAAAACGTATGAAAGAGTTTTAAAACACTTCTTTTGGCCAGGACTCAAGTCTGATGTAGTTCTTTATTGTCGAACATGTCATGTGTGCCAAGTTGCTGGTAAACCGAATCAGGTGATTCACCCTGCTCCTCTCATTTCCATTCCGGGAATGGGAGAGCCATTTGAAAGGGTGATTGTGGATTGTGTGGGACCCTTGCCAAAAACTAAAACTGGAAACCAGTTTCTCTTAACTGTCATGTGTGCCTCCACTAGGTTCCCAGAAGCCATCCCACTACGGAAGAGCACTGCCCCGGTCATCACCAAGGCACTTCTGAAGTTTTTCTCCATGTTTGGTCTACCGAAGGTAGTTCAAACAGACCAAGGTACCAACTTCATGTCTAAAGTGTTTGCCCGGGTACTTGACACCTTAGGTATCAAGCATGTGACATCCAGCCCATATCATCCTGAAAGTCAGGGGGCATTAGAGAGGTTTCACCAGACTATGAAATGCATGTTAAGAAAACATTGCCACGAGTCTCATAAAGATTGGGATGACAGTGTTCCTTTAGTGTTATTTGCTGCCCGTGAAGCTGTTCAGGAGTCTCTAGGTTTTAGTCCTGTTGAGCTAGTGTTTGGACATGAGGTCAGAGGTCCTTTAAGAGTTCTTAAAGAGCATTTGATCATGCCAACGAAAAAAGTTTGCAGTATCCCGGAGTATGTCGCCAAACTAAGGGATCGTCTACATCAGGGCTATTCAATTAGTTTGGAATGGGGGCCGGTTGATGAAAATGATCCAAAGCAAGGGGCCGGGAAAAAGATGGCTTGAAATATGAGCAATCATATTTAAGAGCTTCAGATACAGTAAATACTACAACAGCATAGTGGAGTGCATATATTGTGTTTAATTCAATCAAACAACATAGCCCCAAGGCCTTTATATATCTAAATGGCAAGTTCAGAACTCAGTAGGCCTACATGTTTCATTTGATTTCATTTAGGTGAAATTATCTAATCATTCACGCAGAGATGCAATCAATGACAGGAGTTGTCAC